GCTGACGCAACACCTTATTAGTGTATTAAGCCTACAGTAATTTCAGTGTTTAACTTTTGAAGTCTTTGTGAACTTAGGCCTACAACTTATAAGTTGACATGTTCACTTTTACGTAAGTTGTAGTCCTAAGTTAGTAAAGCTATGTTAGCTTTACGTCTATGTAAAGGTAATATTCTTGTTTCTAAAGTTAATGAATTTCTGGAAATAATGTAAACACTTTAACATTAAAATACCTATTATAAGGAACAGTAAAAGTTTTAGGTTTTTGTGCAGAGCTTGAATATTATTTGAAGATAACACTGAATTCTAGCAGTTTTTATTTGCTTTCTTCCTTGTAAACATTGGTTGAGTAGTAGCATCCACCAGATATTTCTCTAAAGAAACATTAACGATAGCGTAACGTTATGCAATTTATCGAGGAGAAAAATACCTGAACTATAGGCATATGATCCCGAATTCTACGAAATTGGCCTGACCTCAAAATTTAAGTACAGCCTCAAGCTTTGGTTATCACTGTCACTCTTGAGACTAAAGGTAAACAGAGCTTTGGAACAGTAAATATTTTGAGGTAAAACTTGACTTCCGCAAGATATCTTGCTGACTTTTGAATGTATAACAGGTTGTGATACTCAAAATATTTTGTTGTATGCTAGAACTAGAAGGCGCATGACGTTAAGAACGAAAAGTTTATAAAAGTAGGCTTAGAATATCTCTTCTGTGCTCTAAATTTGACATCCAGAATCTAGCAAATTCGGGGAGTATAAAGAAACAAGGGAGGTTATAAATACGAGAATGAGTAAAGCATTGAATCAATACGATTTTCAGTTCGTATAGTGCTAGTAATTCAGTGAAATACTTGATTTTAATGAAGTGTATGTATTTGGATCAATATTAGTTATCGCGTATAATCAGTTACTCCATTGATTAATTAACATTTTTGTACATTATTCGTAGTACCATTAGCGATGTATTTCTGTTCAAACGTCATTTGTAAACTTAGGCCTACAAACTACCATAGCGTACAACTTAACAAGTGGAGGCAGCATGAACTTTAAATTATTTTCACCAAATAATTTAAAAGAAACTGCCCAATGAAAAGAAAAAATATGTTTATTTAACACAAGTTTTTTTAGAAAGGTTTCAATAACTTGATTCGTTTGTCAGTCTTGTAATTTATTTGTAAGTCTACAAATAACACATGAAAGAAATTAGACGAGCGTCATGAGACCATATTTGAATAAATGGAGAGAAACTTGAAAAAATGTAATACTTTTTGAAATAATTACTTCTCGATAAACCATATAGGCACCTCACACAGACATATGCATATGATTTATTTTCAGATGCTATGTTTCTGATACCCAAAAATGTCAAATAAAATATCACATAGTTAACACATTCATTTCACATAAAACAACCGAGCCGGCTGAGTGTCTTCTCTCTTTCTTTTTCACAATTCAAAATTAGGATCTGTTTGTTGTTGAGCTCAAAGTAATACAATAAACTACTGTCATGTGCAAATTGCAGAACTTGAACCTTGAACTTTAGCATTATAAGCAAGCCCTCAACAACTTACCATTGAGTGACTAGCGCCATCAAAATGAGGGATGGCTATGCTTATACGCAAGTCTTACCTCGAATGCTGCAGTCGTTATATTTCGCCATTCTCCAGTTGCTTCATTAAATATAATGACTGGCGTAGTCAGTGTATAAACATTTTGACTTGTCCACTTAGCCCTTTATAAGCATAAGGCGTTGTTCAAGTGAACAAACAAACAAACTGTTTAAGTCACAGTTTTGTGAAATGTTAAACACTAAATAATATCATGGTTTGAAAAGACAAATCAGATACCTTCAAGAATGTTAAGTCAGTTTATCTGAACTCGGTTTAAGATTTCCTTGTAATATTGGAACTATATCATACATAATTTACAAGTATAAAGCCTGTGAGTAGGGTAATATGAAAACAGACATATTAAGGTTTTGTAGAAATATTTGATATTTACAATAACAAATTCAACATTATGTTGTGTGATCCTTTCCACTCTGAAGTTGTGATAGTAAGTTGTTCTAAGATGGGGTTCAAACTGGTGACCACTAGGTTGTGAGACAAGTGACCTAATCATTAGGCCATGTCAGGCCTGAAATGTTTGTAAAGATAGTAAGTTGTTTTAAGATGGGGTTCAAACTGGTGACCACCAGGTTGTGAGACAAGTGACCTAATTAGTAGGCCATGCCAGGCCTGAAATGTTCGTAAAGATAGTAAGTTGTTTTAAGATGGGGTTCAAACTGGTGACCACTAGGTTGTGAGACAAGTGACCTAATTAGTAGGCCATGCCAGGCCTGAAATGTTGTAAAGATAGTAAGTTGTTTTAAAGATTTGAGAAACATAGATTCAGAATAATTTATTCGAGTGATATCAGTTTGAAACTACAGAGTTGCTGGGGAATCCCAGTTTTACACAACACAATTCAATATTTTGTTAGTTCAACATCTTCACACTAAACATTAGTTGCTTATCATGGAGAAACATCAAGTAGCTGTCTATTAAACTTTCATGCCTTCTGGTCGTTAGGTTGGTTAGAAAACAAGAAAGAACTGGATAATACAGCAATTTCTTCAATACAAAATACTTTTCGATGCAGGGACTACACACGAAACTTTAAAAGAAAACAGTATTCTCAGACATTGGTACTTCAACTAAAGTTTAAACATTTCTGTCAACGAAACTAAAATAAGACTATTATCTCATGTTACTTGTAGTACGACACAGGTTTAAATGGTTTGATCTCTGACATTAATCTTTGGAGCTAAATTAGCTGTGATTCAACCATCTAATAACAGGTGAGAGTATACCATTTCATCACAAAACACTTTGTAATGTTAATATACACAAAAAAAAGTTAGATTTTTTACTTAAAGAACAAACGGTGAGGAAGTTTTATAAACATTCTAGAGAAAATATAAACGAAATAAATCACCTATGTTGTACAAAAGAGAAGTTACGTTTTCCAGCTGTAATAAATCAGTTAAAAATCCATTTCCAATATATATACGAATTGAATTCTTCAACAAATAAATACTGTAAAGCCTTATTTACAATTATTTTTTTCAACAGGCTGAAGAAGAAGAAACAATGCAATAGAAGTTTAGAAATCACCAATGAAGAGAATCAACATCAGGAATCACTTCTTCAGAGCTTCCATTCTTTGATCAAGACTTGCTATGTTGGCCTTGATCATTTCCATATTCTTAGAAAAATTGTCTTGAAGCTAAAAAAAACAGAAAAAAAGTTAGTATATGAATAAAAAGAAGGAGATTAATGTGGTAACAAACAGAAGGCGACTAATGTGGTAACAAACAGAGGTGATTAATGAGGTAACAAACAGAAGGTGATTAATGTGGTAACAAACAGAAGGTGATTAATGTGGTAACAAACAGAAGGCGACTAATGTGGTAACAAACAGAAGGTGATTAATGAGGTAACAAACAGAAGGTGATTAATGATGTAACAAACAGAGGGCGATTAATGTGGTAACAAACAGAAGGTGATTAATGTGGTAACAAACAGAAGGTGAATAATGTGGTAACAAACAGAAGGTGATTAATGTGGGTTAAGAATCACCCTCTGTTTAATGTGGTAACAAACAGAGGGTGATTAATGTGGTAACAAACAGAGGGCGATTAATGTGGTAACAAACAGAAGGTGATTAATGTGGTAACAAACAGAAGGTGAATAATGTGGTAACAAACAGAAGGTGATTAATGTGGGTTAAGAAACAGAAGGTGATTAATGTGGGTTAAGAAACAGAAGGTGATTAATGTGGGTTAAGAAACAGAAGGTGATTTGGTAAAACATTTAACATGGAAATGGTGTTTGAGTCATCACTGATGCAGAAAAGTTTAATCACAAGAAACTACTTATAGCACCGTAATGACTCCAACTTTTTGCAGGTCAAAGTTCACAACATAAACTAGTTTCCACACAATCTTACCTCTTGAAGTAAACTCTCATTATTCTTGAAGGAGCTAGTTATTTGTTGTTGTACAGCATCCAATTGGGTCAAGGTCTTGCTAAACTGTAGGGCTGAGAAAAATAAAACAAATAGAAGCAGGACTTTGAAAGTTTTGACTGATTGTTCCACTCCAGTGTCATAGTCTTTATCTATTCATTAGAGAATGTATTACTATGACACTCAAGTCAATTTATACAGAACTGATGTATCTCTATTGTTGGATGAATGTGTAGAGTTTGTAACAGAAACTCAAATTCTAGACTAGCACACGGTTCTCAGTTAAACAAATATTTCTTTTTAAAATGTGTAACTCTTTTTTTCACAAAAATATAAACTTATTGACACATCAACAAACGTTAATATACGTACTGTTAAATTATGTCATTATTGAGAAGTATAGCATAACAAGCAACATCATACTCCAGCTGTGAATTATAACTTCAATGATGTGTTGACACGTGATCTAAGCTGGATGTCAACGTGTCAATATAAACTTACTGAGAAGTATATCATAAC